CATTCCTCTCTAGACAACTTTAGAATTAAGAGTTCTCTTAGCTGTCCTGTGCCATCTTAAAAATTCCTTTTCCCCTTCAAAACATGAGCTGTCATGTCTCTCCACGGATTCTTTTTTTTTTTTTCTCTCGAGTTGCCACCCAAATCTAGAGAGAAACCTCTACCCTGTTATTTAACCCATAGCTTGTGGGGGTTAAGAGATTGATATCAATGTTACTAGCGCGAAATGGAGACTAAGAGACGACATCGTTTGCCTTACCAAGGCTAAAGAGTCCAGTCTACTCTGCTATTTTAACCAACAGGTTGATACGAAAGTGTTACCACCCTAACCCTCTCTTTCAAACTGTAGGAGTTTGTGTCAGTCATCTAAAATAGAAAATTATACCACCCTGTACATTGACTCTTTTCTAAGAATTTGACTGACAGGATTCGAACTCGCCACGAAGGTTTCATTTTCTGCGTTGATAACCACTACGCTAATTCCTATTGAGCTGATAATAATTCAGTTTATACAAATAATGGCTTTAACAAATGGTTACAATAAACACTTCTCTTTTAAATAATATATTTAATTACGCGTTTATTGGGTCAGGCCGCCTTTTAATTAGTTCAAGAATGCGTGAAGGTAAAAAAAAAGAAAATTACTAATTATATCCAAAATTAATTAAAGAAAGTAAGTCGACGTTCCTCACATATTACAGTAAAGCTTCACAATATGCCAAAACGATTTAAACATTTTACCAATTTAGACATTTTTTTTTATTTAACACTCCACCCATGTCTATTTTCGACTGACAGACACGCGATAAGAGTGGGTGGGATATCGGGTGTGTGTCTGGTTCTGTGATTGGTCGGCATTATCAATTTATTATCGCGTTTAATTCCAACGCAATGCGAATACATATCGTGTAACATGTTGCGCATTTTCTCTAGCGCACATATGTGTCCATTCCAAGGTTTTATTTAAGACATTAACAGCTGTTGACGCTCGTCTCATATTTGCCTTGAGGCACTTGAACAGGTCGAAACCGTGATCTTGCACTCAATTTGTAAGCTGGAGTTTGAAAATATGTTTTCCATTTAAAGATTTAAAGTTTAGCTTCAAAATCGTAACGTTGGAATTTCACTCCAGATAAAGATGCATAGCACAGACTTATAAATCTTATAGTTTTCTGAAGCTTCCGAATTTTTATATGAAGATGCATGGCACAAGCACTTTATTACTAAATCATTGTGCTATAAATAAGACCTTCACTTCAAAGGGAAATTATTCTGAGCAATTTAGCTATATTATGATGTAATATGTTATACAGTGCAATAATTTTAGTGTGTTCTTTCAATAAACAATATGCAATGGACAAAGTCCGACAATTATTTTAAGACATTTTTATGTTTATACATTCTTTATATAGATACAAATATTTAAGTAAATGCTCTGTTTATAATAAACAGTATTAAACAACATTTACCGGCCTGAATGTCTGAGAAATTTTCACAGAAAATATTCGTCCTCCGTCAGGATTCGAACCTGTATCCTATACGGAACCGTCATTTAGCTTGACGTGCCTTAACCAGTTTGGCTACAGAGGAGCGTTCGGTAAAAGTGAAAAAGTGTGACAAACTGACATTCGCATTTATTTATATAGAGGATCTAACAAATCACGTTCATTCAGGAGACATTTTTTTAAATCTTTTTTTATACAGTTTTTACTTTTCGAATATTGTAAAAAAAAAATGACTATTTTTCTTATTGTGATTCATACTGAGAATTCTACCAAAAATATTGATGGCATTATGTAAGGGTACAAATAGCCGACGTAAACAGGGAATTTATGAATAAAGATTTAAGTTTATTTCCCAAAATAAAGTACAAGTCATCTTCTATAGCAATTTCTAAACTTGAAGTTTATTCATTATGACGTGCTAAACAAATTTTCTCGACGGACACTATTTTCAACATTTATAAATCTAATATCCGTCTATGTATCAAATATTGCTGCCACATCTGGTCTAGTGAGTCAGATTCTTGATAATATCCAAAGAATTAGCAACGTTAACGGTCTTAACCCGGTCATTGTAAATAGCTTTCGTCGTTGGTACGATAAGAAAGATTGAAGACCAGCCTTCCCTTATCCCTCCTTTTGTCCTTGTGCCACACATTTGTAGTTTTCAAAATAAATATTGCTTTCGTCGTTGATACTTCGAACATAAGAATTTAAACGCAGTACAAACTGTCATCTGATCTAACAGATATGACCAACTGTCTGTTGTTAAATAGGGCAGGGAATGGCTTGTTAATTTTAAAATACAAAACTGCTCTTCATTGATCATCTGATACACCCCTCTCTGCCTTCCGTTAGTATGGCTGATGCTAACCTCCTGTAGAGAGTGACTTGTTGAGCCTACTCGGGCTAACATTTTCGGCTGACATGAATTGGAAAGACTATACTGAATCCAGTACTAGGTCAGCTGCTAAGAAATTTGGTTCACTGTGTCATGTTTTTTCTCTAGAATCTATCTTGCATATCTATAAGTCTACCATTCTTACATGCTTTGAATACCGCTGTCATATATGGTTCGGTTCTCATGCTGTATATTTAGAGATTCTTGGTAAAATCCAAAAAACCCGCTACATTATTGGTCCTGGCTTGCCATCTCGGCTTCAGCCACTTTTCCACCGCCGTAAAATTGCTGCCCTGTGCCTTTTCTATAAATATTTTCATGCTGACTGTTCTGATGATCTACTCTCTATAGTATCTAGACTTCATAAATTTAAGCGGACATTATTTCCATTATTCGGACTATTGTCCTCATCTTTGTCGCCATATTTATTACAACATTTGGGTCGTTGTACGCTCCGGCCTTCCAAGAACACAGGGCACAGTGGATAAAGGCGTTAGTTAGATCCAGTGAAAGGACCCAAAGAGTGTGAGTTGAATACCCGGTTAAGGCAGTGTAGAACTTTCAGAGGGAAATTAACAGGTGATAACTGATAACTGACATCCATTAAACATGGCACGTGGAAGTAGAACAGTCTACCCCAGTGAGCGAAATAAAGGGTTCAGTTCGACATTCCAACCACCTGAAGAAGGCCGGAGCGTACAACGGCCGAAATGTTTTAATAAATATGGCGACAAAGATGACAATAGTCCGAATAATGTAAATAGTGTACATAATAACTCATCTCAGAAATATAGACAGGTACTGAAAGGCCGAAACGTTGAAATAAATATGGCGACAAAGATGAGGACAATAGTCCGAATAATGTAAATATTGTACATAATACCTCATCTCAGAAATATAGACAGATACTGAAAAGCAGAAACGTTGAAATAAATATGGCGACAAAGATGAGGACAATAGTCCGAATAATGTAAATAGTGTACATAATACCTCATCTCAGAAATATAGACAGGTACTGAAAGGCCGAAACGTTGTTATAAATATGGCGACAAGGTGAGGACAATAGTCCGAATAATGTAAATAGTGTACATAATACCTTATCTCAGTAATATAGACAGATACAAAAGCAGATGTTAAGTGAATTTTATAGTGGACATCTGGGAAGACGAAATTTCTTATTAGAAGCTATTTATAAGGGACCAAAATGGATCAAGGCATTGAAAAATTAGCAAATGCTTGCAGAGGTTGTACACTGGCAGCAAAGCCACCTCCGATGAAATTACAACCTTCGCCAAAGGTAGATACTATGTGGTCAAGACGGTGCATAGTCTTCTCAGGTTCAATAAAGGATCACATTATCTTGTGGTAGTGGAAATTTTTACTAAGAGGCATAAAATTTGTAAGTGCAAAAAAACTAACTTCCACGGTTACAGTGAATTTATTTTATACGAACTGTCTGCGAGATATGACATCCCTGGTGTCATAGACTCGTATCCCTGATTACGAATTAAAAAAAAAAAAGTAAAATGTTCCAGTATCACTCACAATCTGAACGGTTTTTGATTACTTTTAAAAGAGCTTTGAAAAAAAAAACAATGAAAAAGTGAACGAAGAACCACTACAATAGTTCTTAAAAGTATATCGGATAACGCTGAATCCCAATACACCGGCAGGCATGTCACCGGCAGAATTGATGTTCGCAAGAAAAATTAAATTGGTGTTCGACAAGTTCTTACCAGGTCAAAAAAGGAATAAAAAAAAAATAGCAAAAAGGACACAAAATTTTTCAGAATTTGCGAAAAAGTTTTTTCAGGGTATATAAAAATGGAAAAGAAATGTGGGAAGATGGCGTAATAAGGTCACAAATTGGAAAAAATGATATCTATGTTAACATAAAAAAATAGGAACACAAAAGGCATTAGAATCAGTTAAAGAAAAGGTTTACTGAAAAAAGGCCCGCAACAAAGAAAGAACCTGTTCAAGAACAGAATGATATTTTTGACGTACCATCACCCCAAGAATTTGTTGAACGTAAACGTATAATTACCAGAAAAGGGAAATGTACGAAAATACTAAGAAATAAAATAAAATAATTTACTAATAAATAAAAAATCAAAAATACGATATGGAGTAAATAAGACACCACTGATAACACAAATGAACTAGGCAAGACGTCTAATAAAGAACGACAAGTGAATCGGGCGAAGAAAATCGCAATCTGTCCCAGGCTCGCAACAAGACAAGACCTCCATCATCGTGCAGATGGTGACAAGACCGCAGTCTTCGGGTGGAACATGATTTAGTTGGGCTCTGTCTTCAAACAGATACACGGCTGCGAAAAACAGACCAATTCTGTATCCGAGCCCGCTTTGGCGGGGGCTGGGTAAATTTTGACCAGTAGCCCGGGTGGAAACATACGGGTTGTGTCGCATCTAGTCTGCAGTGGGGCTACTGGTAAATACCAGTCACAGTCAGTCGCAGGCTCGCGACAAGACAAGACCTCAGTCTTCGGACGGAGAGTGTCAAGACCTCCGACTTCGGGTGGAGGATGACTCAGTCGGGGATCTGTCTTCGGACAGAGACTCGGCTGAGAAAAACGGACAAGGCTGGAGTGGATGAAACGGTGAGACAGCAAGTAGGCTCGAATGGATGAAAAAGGACAAGGGGAAAGCATGAGAGCTGAAGATTGGAGTGGATGAAACGGAGGAAAGCAGGACGGCTCGAGTGGATGAAACGGGGAGAAAGCAGGACGGCTCGAGTGGATGAAACGGGGAGAAAGAGGAAGCTCAGTGGATGAAGAGCTGAAAGTGGATGAAACGGGGAGAATGCATGAGTGCTGGAGTGGATGAAACGCCGGGGGAAAACAGGACGGCTCGAGTGGATGAAACGGGAGTAAGCATGAGTGCTGGAGTGGATGAGACGAGAACACATGAGGACTGGTGGATGGATGAAACGTGGAGAAAACGGGGAGAAAGCAGGTCGGCTCGAGTGGATGAAATGCGGAGAAATCATGAGGGCTGAATTGGATGAAACGGAGAAGAAATCATGAGGGCTGGGGTGGATGAAACTGGGAGAAATCATGAGGACTGGGTGGATGTGGGATGAAACGGGCTGGAGTGGATGAGAAAGCATGCGGGCTGGCTGGGTGGAGTGGATGAAAACGAAATCATGTGGGCTGGAGTGGATGAACAGGGGACTACGCAAGTAAGTTGCGTGGCTAGAATTAATGAGATGGGGTGAAAGCAAGTTGGTTCGAGTGGAGGGGATGGAGAGAAAGCATGTAAGCATTTATGCTAATAACTAATAAAAAGAATTATAGCAGCCAAAGATAACATCCTCAAACATGACTTCTGTGGATGCATGTGATATTTAAATAGACTGGACCACTATTAAAAAATAGGGAGATTTTCGGAAGGGGAAAATAATTTTTATGTAGTAGCATTTTTTATGCGAATTAGTATTTAATTATTTTAGTTTGGGATTAATTTATATATTCTAAATAATTATTAGGTTACGAGTTTATCTGTTTTTATTTTTTATTTTTTTTTACATTTTTATGGTCATGTATATTGACTTGGGAAAGGAGTAATTCTTTATGAATTAAGTTATTTGAAAAAGTCCGCAACGCAGATTTATATTTTGACCAGACTCGATAAGGGCATTCTCAAGAATTTTCCGTCGAAGATACTTTTCTCATTTAATATGTGGAGTATTCTTTAGATCAAAGTAGTGTTTGAATTTATTTCTATGTATAACTAATGTGTTTGATAAATTGTTGGGCATAATATCCCTTTTATGTTCATAGATGCGTTTGATTTTTTTTTTTTTTTTTTTTTTATTTAAATCTCTTTTTCAAACTTGTGGTGAGCAATTCTGGCTATTTATTTCATATATACTTTTTATTGGTATTTTTAATAAATGTCTGATTTTCTTTAATACACTTCTCCCAAAAGTAAGTTATATATATATATATATATATATATATATATATATATATATATATGGCATATTTAGGAAAGGTTGATCAAAATAGTGTTTGCATTACAATTTATTTCTTATGTATAACTAATTGCTTCTACGATTGTGAACTCTTTTTGATAAATTCATCATTTGTAAGGCATAATATCCCTTTTATGTTACTGACAATCACAGTTTAGATGTTACTCAGGAGAAAGATTAAAATTCGATTCGAGGATTTTTTTTTAATTTTTTCTGGCGAAAAAAGTTCTAATTTCTGGCTAGCCATGTTAGAGGATCAGTTTACAAACAACAAAGGGATCAGTTTATATATTGATTGTCCCCCAATGTAAATGTGAAATGAGCAATTCTGGCTATTTATCAGTTTATATTTTTAATATATACCATTATAATTTCTTTGCTTTGAAAAAAAATTATCAAATGTTGTTATTAGTATTTTTTCTGAATATAAATTTCAACCCATGAGGGATCAAGAATATAAATCCACATAATTTATAAGATGGATTAATTAAAAAAATTCATCTAAAAGTGAATTAATCATTTCAGAAAAAGATAAACTGCAGAGAAAGGATTTAATATAATGAAAACTTGAAAAATTCAGAAAGTCGATAAGAAGGTGACATCTAACGTCGCACTTTATAATGTCACAATATTTTAAAGGTCGTAGTTGACTGGAATGCAACAGGCTTGTAGAGTTCCACAAGTGAGAAGTGCGAGAGAAGAATCTATTAGAACAGAACCTACGGTTGCATTTACCAATTTCAACAGTTAAATTATGAGACCTAACTTCCAATCTAGTACTACGCTTACATTCATGAAATGGAGATATTAAAGGGAAAAATGTCACCAGAAACAGGGGAGCTACGTTACGGCGGTGGGGATGTGACTGAAGCCGAGATGCCAGGTCAGCACCGATAACATTGTAGATTTTCTCAGGAGATTCTTAAGTCTAAATACAAATTGTTCGATGTGTTTTCATTTCTTGTTAACCGTCTCTTTCTTTCCGCTCAAAGCTTTGCCTTGAAAATCAGTTTGTCGACCGCATTGCTAATCCGTTCTTCCTTTTCTTGCTTTCAGATGAGTAAACCTCACGGCCACAGGACATTTCACGGACTCAAAAACTGGCCCCTTTTCAGCTACTTCCACCGCTCCAGAGGCATGCCAGTATCCAGTCCTGCTGGTTGGTAATATTAATACGTTTTCTTAAAACAAATTCCATTTGTTATTCCGTAAAGGATTTTATTTTCTAAATCAATCATATCCGACAATGTTGGATTTACCAAATATGTAAGAAATTCGATCGTACACGGTTTTTGTTTCATTTTTTATGCAGCAATAATAATAATAATAAATAAAAATAAAGAAACCAGTTATGCCTGTTCAATAAATCATTTGTATTTACAAACATATGCACGTGAATACAAGGATCCAAATGGAGTAAGAATAGTCTATAGTTGAGTTAGTCTGTGTGTAAGTTGGTCCACAGAAAGAAACTATGATTTAGAATTAACTTACTTTGATCGTCAGCGAAGATTCCCTGACCGTCCAAGCTGCTGTTGTTGATGATCCATTTGAAGTCACCGATACATGTTTTATTCAGCACGCGCTGATGGAGATTGGAAAAGCTATGTAACCACGTCTTCTCTCGTATGTGAACTGCAGCTGCATCAAGTCGAAATCTGTGAGGTTTTATGCACATACACACACACTCAGAGGGGCACCTCGGCGTGGTGTAATGGTTAGCAAGCTCGTCTCGCTAGATCAGTTACAACTGAAAACTGAGTTCGATTCTCACTAGGTGTCCCATACTTTCGGCCATGTGCCACATCTAAGCTACGCTTAGAAAATAACTACACACACACACACACACACACACACACACACACAGACAGTGATATCTGTTTGTGTGTGTTCAATTTAATCTCCTTTCTGCTGAGTGTCAAGACAAATCATTACTGAATTCGACCTCATAGTTTGCTGAGCGTGCATTGGCCATTGAATGTTTTCCCGAACTTTTTAATTTTATATCAAAAACCTAAAACAAATATAATTTACCACATTCGAAATTCTACACCCAGGGGATTCACCCCCACCACCTCAGATCGTGTCATCAATGTTCTGACCAGTAGTTTGCTATTCTGGGCCAGCTTACGCATTCTGTAACAATTGGTTTGCTTTGCTTTACGGCATATCAACACCTCAATGGGTTATTTAATGACGACAAGATTTTATTGCTGGTAATATCTTTTTTCAAAAATGTATTGCTGCTAATATTTTTTCTTCAAAACTTTATTGCTGGTAATTTTTTTAATTTTACATGTATTGCTGGTAATATTTTACCCTCAAAAAAATGTAATATTTTACCCTCAAAAATGTATTGCTGGTAATATTTTTCTTCAAAAAAAATAATATTTGACCCTCAAAAAATGTATTGCTGGTAATATTTTTTTTTCAAAAATGTATTTCTGGTAAATTTTTCACTCAAAAATATATTTTTTTTCAAAAAATGGCTGGTAAATTTTTCTTCAAAATATTGACTGGTAAATTTTTATTTTCTGGAAAAAATTTTTTTCAAAAAATGTAAAATTTTATTTCAAAATATATGGCTGGTAATATTTTTCTTACAAAAATATGTGGCTGGTATATTTTTTTTCAAAAATATAAAAATTTTTTAAATGTACTGCTGGCAATATTGTTTTTCAAAAATGTATTGCTGGTAATAAACCCATTTTTACACTTTTATAGTATTTTGAACCTAGTTTGGGGGTTAACTATTTACCATAGCAGGTCTTACCACTCTGGATCAGGGTGGACCTAAGAACACAAGCAATGAAAGTGGTTCTACGCTCCTCAAAACCTCAATGGGAAGCCTTGCTGTTGGCTGTAGTTTATCGTCTTCGCCAGTAGGCGGAAGTAGTTTATTGTCATACATAGGATGGCGTAATGATTAGATAGAAATCAATCTGAAGATATTCTAACAATAAAAAAACACACCTAGCGGGTGTGTATAGGCATAAGAAACTCCTAATATACTGAGACAAGAATCATAAACCCCAACGCAATATAATCTTCGGACGGTCGCGTTTTTACTAAAAAAAAAATTCTCAAACTGAGTTGTGCTAATTATTTCTTTTCTAATTTTTTCTTTTCCGCCTTTCCCAACCAGGTAAAGATCACCCGACGAAAAGCGACGCCCCCATGCATATGCCAGTGGGAATGCAACAAAACTTTGGCCCGCCTATGATGCCTCAACGTCCACCGCGTTATGGCAATGCTCATATCAGCCAAGGACCTGGAGATCATTATGACGGGTTTATAGGCGATGTTGGTAAACCAGTTCACATGGACAAAAGACACCCCGCCGATAAAGACAGGCACCGTCCCATAGACGGCAACGCGAGGTAAGTTATTTGTAAAGCAATATTCGACATCCAGTTGCCTATATCGGGCGGAGAAGTAGTTTTTCGTCTATATTGTATTCGGTTTAAGAATTGGTAGCTGTTTTTTGTTTGTTTCTTTGTTTAGAAGGCACGGTGGAGTAATGGATGGCGGCTCGGATTGAGAAATCGGAGTTCGAATTCCAGTCAGATCCATTACATTCATTTTACGGAAAGGTATGAATCCTCCTTCTTGGGGAAACAAAACAATTTATGATAATTTATAATAAAAAGTAGGCACTGTGGAGTAATCGGATTGAGGAAACTCTCTCTTCCCCAGCTTGGATGGGTAAATGACCAAAATAGACCGGGGGAAAAAAGCCTCGTCTGGATGGATCAACTGGTCAATTAAAAGAAAAAATGGCAACCTACTTTCCAGCCGTCCGTCCTTGAGGGTGTGTAGGAATAATATTTATGTGCTAATAGAAAAGAATCAGTTGAAACTTCTTCTTCTTCCCTCCTCCCTCCAGCTAAAGGTAAATGCCTACCGGTCAGTCACTGGTATCAGAAAAAAGTAATTTTACTGTAGGAAAAAAATGATCGTCAGTCAATCGAAATGTATCACGCATGGCACATAACTGACTGAGTTTTTTGTTTGTTTTGGCGTCACCTGAAATAATGTTAAATAATATTAAATCATTAAAATCGTCTGCATATATGTTATATAGGGATAAAGTGTCGCTACTGACACTTGAGTTTGAACATAGATCGCCAGAGAGTAAACACAGGCGATCCCATTATTGAATTAAGTAGACTACGTGACTATAGAGGAAACGCATATATGTAGGAAGTGGCTGACGACTAAAGATCCCTAATTCTATTCTGTCCTTTATTACAATACGGATCGTTATTTTTAGTCTATCCTCTTTTGCTATTCGGGAAGCTCTAAATTAACTGATCAAACGAAACTCCTTTAATAAATATAGCGTTAGTTCGATCAACGATTTTTCTGACATAGCATTCTAAAAAAAACTTAACGGATTACTATTCAGGTCGTTATTTGGTCGTTACTATTCGAGCGAGTATTATCGAGCAAGTGCGAGTGATATTCGAAGGCGTCTGACACCAGTATTGTTCAACGGCGTTATTATAATTGTATCTGCGATTACAAAGTCTCTACTACAACGAGCATTTCGAAAATGACAACGATTATTCGTTGACATTACAAAAGGTGGCAACGAGTGTTCACTGACATCACAAAAATATGCTTGTAACATGTGGTTCTCTCTTGCAAATACCGAAGGAATGAATCCATCGGTTTGTTTTTTTGTTTTATGCCATATCAACCACAAATTTATTATTTATATATATATATATATATATATATATATATATATATATATATATATATATATATATATGGTGGTACTCGCTTTGAAAAACATCGGATAGCTCAACTTGCAATAGAACAAATCGGTACCCGAGGAATAAAAATAGAAAGAACCAAGATTATTAAACCAAGGCAAAAACAATCGTCTAGTGTTCAAGTTCCAAGTCCAAAGAAAAAACCCAAAAGGAGTAAAAAGAAACTACGTAAAATGCTCAATACACTAAGAGCAAAACCTAAGATAATCTTTTCTTTTTTTTTTTTGTCACGTGGTCATGGTTATTTTTGGTTGTAGCTATAGATTCTTTTCCATAATTTCCCTTTTCAGACGGCATCGCCCTGACGATCCGTTTAGGTGAAACCTAGGTAGGTTTTCCTGGCTCCTTAGGATTATTTGATATATATATATATATATATATATAATAATTATTAGGAGGATTTGATAATTATATTTAATTAATTAATTCTGATAGAAACCTCAACAGAATGCAGAAAGCACTGGACGGCCGTTTCGTCCTATATTTGGGACTCATCAGCAGTGCGCATCCACTACCGAGAATTGAAACCCTGACAGTTAGGTTGTTAAGCTGACATCATACCAACTGTCCCAAGTGGGCCTCGGTGACGAAGAGATTCCAAATCAGACTCAACAAAGCGCTGCTCGCTCACATATTCCGTGGCGGAACTCGACTGAGATTCGCTATTACCATAGGACTGTGCCCCCTGGAGCCACGACTACTATCGCCAAGCCGCTACCTACTGTAGCATTAGAAGCCGGTTCAAGCGATGATAAAGACAATTAGTAATTAATCGGAGGATTTGATAAATTTAATTAATTCATCGAGTCTGATAGAAATCTCAACAGAATGCAGAAAGCACTGGACGGCCGTTTCGTCCTATATTTGGGACTCATCAGCAGTGCGCATCCACTACTGAGAATTGAAACCCTGACAGGTTGTCAAGCAAACATCCTACCAACTGTCACCGTGGCCCATTGGTACTCAATTCTCCAAGTTATTTGTTCACCTCTGATGTGGCCAGGTATTGAACTCACAACTCATTGCGTCAAGTCACTGGATTTCTTCAACCGACGCTTTTATCCACTAAGCCATGTGTCCTTTGGGATATCAACTTATAATACCCGAAGAAGGCCGCAACGTGAAACGGCCGAAACGTCGTGAATATGACAATGAGGACAACAGTCTGAACAATTGTAAATAGTTACAATACCTCATCTCAGCAATATAGTCGGATCCTGACGAAGGCCGGAATGTACAACAGCCGAAACGTCGTGTCTATGACAATAAAGATGAGGACAACAGTCCGAATAATTTAAATAGTTGTTTTGTTCCCTATTGGTGTGAATTTGGACACTGGTTGCAGAACGTCTCATTCCAAACCTTTCAAAGGTCTGGACTAATTCTGTAATAGTACCAATGGTACTAATTCTCTTGGTTAATTCGCCAATTGTGCAAAGGGAAATAACTCATCCGTTCTCTGTTCGCTATACGTGGTGTTTCTTTCTAAAAACACGACACTTTATCTAATAAGGAATTTAGATTAAAGTAAATACACCTTAAAAACTGGGCCGGGGGAAAGTACGAACAAGACAGAGCACTGTATCCCTTCAAGATTGCCGATCAGATCTGAATTTCTCCAGATAGCTCTAAACAAATTTAAACTATCCCCATTTTGTTATGCCTTCTAAACAATTCGGTAAAAAAAATCATTACTCTATACATCGTCTTTTCAATTTATCTAAACAATACTTGTTCCATTTATTCAAGTTCGTTCCATTTTTATTCAGGTTCGTTAAGGGTAAATCAGCTCTCCACAACTTCCTATTCGTTCTAAGTAATTTTGTCTCCTTACTTTTCTTTCCAGTCCGTGTTCTGGCATCCATTAATGCAAAGTAGGTTGCTTATGGCTCTCCAAACTTCCTATATTTGTAGCTCTAAACAATATTTATCTCCTTACTATTCTTCATTCCTTCTGACATCCATTTACACAAGCTCATTATGCAGGTTAATCATGGCTCTCCACAACTTCCTATCCTTTTTAGCTCTAAGCAATAACTGTCTCCTTACTATCTCACGCAGTTTAAGTTCTGCCTCCCAATTAATCAAGCGCGTTAGGTAGGTTGATCATAGCTCTCCACATCTTCCTATTTGTCGCTCTAAGCAATTTTTCCTCGTTACTGTTACTTCAATTTCCTGTTCTGTTATCCAGTTACACAAGCTCATTAAGTAGGTTGATCATGGCTCTCCACAACTTCCTATGCTTTGTCGCTCTAAATAATAATTGTCATCTTATTATCTCTTCGATTCCCTGTCATGTCATCCAATGTACAGAAACTTCTTAGATATGTTACTCGCTCTTTCCATCTGCTCCTGTTACCTTCAATATATCCTGTGAGTGTCAAATTCTCTAAACCCTCTTTCCTCATTATATTTTCCAGAGATATCATCTGTCTGTTTTTGATTCTAAGTATAATTGTCTTTTTCTTTCCAATTTCTTGGGGGGGGGGACCGCTTCTTTGCTCATATGTTAGGTACATGTTATTCCCATCATACGTCTACAGAACCACATATCATTTGCTTCAAGTCTCTCATTGATCTGTGAGGAAATTGTCTAGTATTATTCGCTGTCATATGGGAGGCATGATATTAGGTAGCAGTTCAGTGTTCTTTTCTTTGTTTCCAATGTAATTTTCTTAATTCTTAATACTCTGCTTAGCTTTTGGAAGGCATCTTTCGCTCTCCCAATGCTCCTTCGTATTTCGGTGACACATTTTCCGTCGCCTCCCCAGATAGTTACATTTATGTAGTCGTTTGATTCTGACGTCACCAGTTTGTCTCTCACATCTTCAATTGTCTCTTTTTGCTAACGACCATACATTATTTTCTTACAAATTATAATTTTTAATTTTGTTTTTCATAAAACTTTTTCGTTTCGTCCATACTATTCTCTGCACCCTTCAATAGAACCGTGTCTCCTTTGTCACAACTCACCTGTTTATCTGCGTGGACATTGTCCAGCATTCAGTGTCATATAGGAGGACTGATATTACATAACAGTTCAGTACACTTTTCTTTCTTTATCTTGCTTCATGTCTCTTCTATATCTATAAGGAGATTGTCCAGCATTCACTACCATATAGGAGGACTGATATTAAATAACAATTCAGTAATCTTTTTAGGAGATTTGCTTCAATTTCTCTTCTTCATCTGTAATAGATTGTCCAGCATTCGTTTGCCATATAGGAGGACTGATGTTACATTTAACAGCCAGTACACTTTTCTTTGTTTCTCTTGCTTCAAGTCTCTTCTTCATCTATGAGGAGATTGTCCAGCATTCACTGCCATATAGGAGGACTGATATTACATAACAGTTCAGTACTCTTTTCTTTCTTTCTTTCTCTTGCTTCAAGTCTCTTCTTCATGTTTGAGGAGATTGTCCAGCATTCACTGCCATATAGGAGGACTGATAGTTTATAACAGTTCAGTACTCTTTTCTTTGTTTCTCTTGCTTCAAGTCTCTTCTTCATCTGTGAGGTGATTGTCCAGCATTCACTGCCATATAGGAGGACTGATATTACATAAGAGTTCAGCACCCTTTTCTTTGTTCTTAACGAAATTTTCCAGTTTCTTAATACTCTGCTTAACTTTTGGAAGGTCTCTTTCACTATTTCAATACGCTTTCTGTTTTCCGTGTCACATTTAAATGTAGTTTAAACGTAAAATTAAATTATATATATATTTTTTTTTTATTTTAAAACAGTTATGACGGGAACATGGAGTGTATGCCGAAAATGGATATGCCAGGAAGAGACATCGATTCTCAGGGAGGGTTTGTCGAAACTTCAAGAGCTCCTGACGGTAAATTTGCTGACGCTCAAGGGAGAAATTCCGTTAACAAGCGCACTGCCGATCAAGACGGCAAAGGTCCTGACATGCCCAACTTTCCTATGGACTTTGGGGACCACTACATGGAAGGCCAGGATCAGCCGTTTGCCCCCTACATGGACCGTGACTATATGAGAAATATGGAGCCAATGGACATGCGTTATATGGTACCAGGACGCTTCAGTTTGCATATGGAGAACCCGGAAAGATATATGGACTTGTCTCGCTTTACAATGGATTTCGAAGGAAGATATATGGACCCCAATGGCCGATTGTTTTACCCTTTCGGTAGACGGGGTAGCAATCGAATGATCGACATGATGAGACCCCAAATACCACGAAACGAAATAGGAGGTGAGAAAATTGACTTTTTAAATGTACCGCGTCTCTTTTGAACGTTGGCGATCACAGCTCTCCACAACTTCCTACACTTTGTTTTTCTTAGTACGGTTCGTCTTTTCTCGCTCCCTCCTCATCTCGATTCTATATAGGTTACTCGCTGTTTCCCTATGGCTTTATTGCCTTCAGTATATCCTGTGAATGTCAAATTCTCCAAGCCCTCCTTCCTCCTTATGTGCACTAGAAATTCCAACAATCTCTTTCTGATTCTAAGTGTCCTTTTTGTTTTCCTTAAAACATCCTCGTTATTCATAAGTTAAGTCCATGGTATTCTCAGCATCCTTCTGTAGAACCACATTTCTGTTGCCTCAAGTTTCTTCTGCATCTGTGAGGAGATTGTCCAGAATTCACTGCCATATAGGAGGACTGATATTACATAACAATTGAGTACTCTTTTCTTTGTTTCTCTTGCTTCAAGTCTCTTCTTCATCTGTGAGGAGATTGTCCAGCATTCACTGCCATATAGGAGGACTGATATTAGATTAAAGTAAAAATAAATAGACATCTATATTATTCAACCATACTGCTTATATATATATATATATATATATATATATATATATATATGACATTTTTTTATGTTCATACGTTCTTTTTATAGATACAAATATTTAAGTAAATGCTCTGTTTATAATAAACAGTATTAACGACAATTACCGTCCTGAATGTCCGAGAAATTTTCATAGAAAATATGCGTCCTCCGAACCTGTATCCTATACGGAACCGTCATATAGCCTGACGTGCTTTAGCTACAGAGGAGCGTTTCGGTTAGCAAGATCGATTTTACTGTTTTTAAACTACAATTCTCAATGATTTTCTCTCGTACGTTCATATCTACTCGATGCTTATCCAAATGTAAACAACTATGTAAATAAACATATTTTTTATGGAAATTTCTCGGACATTAACAGGAGATAACTGATAACTTACATCCATTAAACATGGCACGTGGAAGTAGAACAGTCTACCCCAGTGAGCGAAATAAAGGGTTCAGTTCGACATTCCAACCTCCTGAAGAAGGCCGAAGCGTACAACGGCCGAAACGCTGTAATAAATATGGCGACAAAGATGAGGACAATAGTCCGAATAATGTAAATAGTGAAATTGGCATGTTTTTCCATTTCACTGAAACAGACGTTAAATGCATAAGAACGTTATCGTCTGTTCTATTTCTCTCTCTCTCTCTCTGTCTCTCTCTCTCTCTCTCTCCCTTATTTTTTCTCATTTCCGTTTCCCGTTACACTCTTTCTTTCTCTCTCCTTTCTTCCTTTCTTTCTTTCTTCCTTTCTCCTTTCTTTCTTCCTTTCTCCTTTCTTTCTTCCTTTCTCCTTTCTTTCTCCTTTCTTTCTCCTTTCTTTCTCCTTTCTTTCTTTCTCCTTTCTTTCTTTCTTTCTTTCTCCTTTCTTTCTTCTTTCTTTCTTCTTCTTTCGAATTATTAAATGTTTTCATTTCTCGCTAAAACGGACAGCTTCTGTTATATCTTTCTCTCCTTCAATGACAATCAAAAAGAAACTGTCCATTATTTATCTCCAGGACGCAATGAACGTGCTAATTTACAGACGAACAAGCAGAATTATATGATAGTAAACACATAAGTAATCTATAAATTATTTTAATCTCATTATATTGTTATAATAAATGAAATGGCATACCTTTTTAAAACATCAGATCATTTTTTTTATAAACCATCAATTCCTCTGCATGAAGAAGTAGAAGATCTACAAAAAGCTGAAATTTAGGAAAAAAGGCGCAAAATAGAAAAAAAATTTTTACATTTTCAGAAATGGATGTTTTTTAATATATCTTTTTCGTTGTTTCTAATTTCAGATGAAATAACTGAACAGGAACTCATCCAAAGTGGTATGTTGGTTGTCACAGATATAGATTACCATCTGCATGAGAATGTCCGTCACCATCACACTGAGCAATTTGACCTCGCCCAGAATGGCCAGCTGATCGTCCGTCGTGGTCAGCCCTTCATGCTGACCATTCACTTTAATGAAGAATACGATGAAAGTAAACACAGCCTCAAGTTCATCTTCCAAATTGGTAAGCATCAAACCAGCATTTTGTATACGGGGTCTATCTGAATATAATTAGGGACATATATATATATATATATATAAACCTAAAGAGCCAGACAAACCTACCAAGGTTTCACCTACGCGGATCGTCAGGGAATACTGGTTTAGCCAGGTAACGTAAGAACGGAATATATAGCCTACAAACACAAAACCATGACCACGTGACCAAAACAAAAGGAAGAGAAAAAAAACAAATAAACGCAATAATATAATATATATATATATATATATATATATATATATATATATATATATATATATATATATATATATATATATATATATATATATATATATATAAGCTTACGGTCAAATCACGCTGAAACACCGGTTCTCGTTCGATCACCGAAGTTAAGCATCGTAGAGCCAGGTCAGTACTTAGATGGGGGACCGCTTGGGAACACCTGGTACTGTAAGCCCCCAAAGTCCAACCCTTACCTCACAGTCGGTGGGGGGTGTAAACGGTAGTGTCAGAGCTATGCCGCCCAGAACTTCGTTCCTGGTAGGGCCACCCAAGGCGGACAGGTCTGACACACACGCCGGCTAACAAGGGCTCTGGTGAAAATCCAAGGAGCGTCTGCATCGGTAACCGGCGGCTTCTGGTCGTTCCTGTCTCTGCGTCTGTGGGAACCCCGCGGCAAGCAAGAACGTTATCCGAGTAGGCCTGGGTACCCTGGTATTCTGTAATTTATCCCAAGAATCTTCTTCTCATAACAGGAAGAAGCCGGCTCAATCCGCCCAGGGTGAATGCCGCATCAGTACAGTACAGTATGTGTAGTATATATATATATATATATATATATATATATATATATATATATATATATAATTGCTTATTCAAAGATTATAATATAAATGTTATAAAATCACTACAAAAATAGCCATTTTGTTTCAACACTATTGGTGTCTTATCAAGTGATGGTGTTGAGTGCAGAATAGTTTTAAAAGGTTCAAATCAATCAAACACCCCTCGTTAAGGGGAAATGCTGTTACATAAGCTGGAATGACCAATCAAAATGCAAGTATATGAGAATTCAAAAATGACCAATCAAAATAAAAGTACATTTGAATTCAAAAAACTTCATAATGACCCTTGGTTATAATAATTATTTAATGCTTTTTTGTTGCAGTTAGACTAAAATAGAATTTATTCTAACTAATAAATATTAAATTATACGATAAAATTTGAAATTAAAAATTACCCATTTTAAAATTTAAATTTAATCTATATTAAGTTTCAAATTATAAAATTACCGAGGAAAAAAGAAAAAAAATACATATGTTATTCTATTTATTTTGTTTTTATTGAAATGAAGTTGGAATAAACGTTAAGATCAAATGTTGCTCTGAACTTCATGACAACACAGATACATTTGAATCATAAACAGAGACAGGGGAGGATGACATCTTGCAAAAGACAATACATACACAGTCAGATTATCATACATAAACACGCAGACGTATTTAGATATATACACCAGGTCTGTATGAAAAGTAACGAGACGTGTCACAAACCAAAAATTGAACATACAGCTATTAGTGACAAAGCTTGGCGCGAAAATAGACGAGTCCAAAACGCTCTACTAGGAATGATTGCAAAACACTTTCTGCTCCCCAATTTATAGCCAGGAACACACAAATGCATGCTGGGATTTCTTCCTAGCCAGTAAGATAGGCCACTTCTCTGTCTTATCTGACTCAGTCCCGATCTGTCTTGCTGATCTCGTTAATCAAAATTCGCTCTTGTGCGTCAACTCATAGTTTGTGAACTTTTCACCATATTGCTGTTAATTTGCCTTGCATATATTATTTGCTTGCTTTATATTATTTTTTGCCCTATTCTTTTCTTTTTCTTGTTGTTTATTGCAAACTTTGATAGTTATGTTTGTTGGGCACTTCTGCCAATGACATTTAAGCATAGCCAATTTCTCTACAACATAATTTTTGTTAACTTTCTGTTAACAATTTCAAAAAATAAGAAGATTAGAATAAACCTCATCAATATTAGAAAATTGGATAATATTTAATTTATCTTCATAAGAAGAAACCATTTTAAGAAAAAAGATTTCATAAATTTCAGTTGACAGTAATCTTAACTGTTCAGTCAATTAGTCACTACGTACCTATTGGATGTGAATTCTTTTTAATCAACACCTCTTTTATTTGCATCCATTTGATTATTTATTCCATTTCCTGATATTTCCAATGATATTAATGTAAAATAGAGACTTTTTCAGTTCCATAACTTATATAATAATACTGGCAAGGGATATTTTGTTGTGGATTTGACAAAGGATATAAACAGAATAATTCTGCTTATTAGGCACTTCTGCTAATGACATTTAACCATAGCCAATTACTCTACAGACATTATTAAGTTATATACAGGAAAAGATATTCCAGTTGTAGCAGAGTATATTCCAGCTATTAGTCTGACAAAATATTCCAACATTGAGTGTGGCAAAGGATATTCTAATAACGGTTTGTTGGGCACCTCTGCTAATGACATTTAACCATAGCCAATTACTCTACAGACATTATAAAGTTGTATACAGGAAAAGATATTCCAGTTGTAGCAGAGTATATTCCAGCTATGAATCTGACAAAATATTCCAACATTAAGGATATTTTGTTGTGGATTTGGCAAAGGATATTCTAATAATTCTATTTGCTGAGCACTTCTAATAAAAGCCAATTAATCTACATCTGCCAAACAGTTACTCTTACCCTAAAGAGTCGTAGCCTCCACTCGCTCATAAAGTCAAAACAGCTGCTCTTATTAAGGTCTAAGAAGAGGCATCCGAAAACTCCATCCTAAACAAAACAAGGGATAAACCTCGACTTCTGTTTAAGTGCTATCTCCAGTTTGTAATTATTTTTAAAATCATTTCACTCCAAACTAAGTCAATAAAGCCACTAAGCCAGAAATGGTTACTGAGTGTGAACGAGTAAGAAAAAGAAAAACCTTAAGGAGCAAAAATAATATAAGATTAATCACGAAGAACATTGCATTTAAATTTTTGAAGATTAATGTTGGCTGGAAAGCAAGAAGCCGGATGAGAGTTCCACAAGCGAGAAGTATGAAAGAAGAAACTGTTAGCATAGAACTTACGGTTACATCTTTCCGTTTCATCTTGCCGCCAACCTTTTATTAAGCTTAAATTTGTAGAGTCATGATACCATACAGGTTTATTAGAATAATTACAGTGAAAGTATCTATGAAAAAAGGCACAGGAAACGTACAGTATGGCGGTGGGAAAGTTATTGAAGCCGAGGCGCCAGGTCAGGACCAATAACATTGCTTATATATATCTATATATATATATATATATATATATATATAATCAGGATAGAGAGGGAGAGTGTGACTACAGGGAGGTGAACAAGATAGAGACTGCAGGAAAGAGAACGAAATAGTGAGAGGGAGACCGCAGAAAAAAGAGAACTAGATAGAGAGAAACTGCATGCAAGAGAACGAGAGAGAGAGACCACAAAAAAGAGAACGAGAGAGACAGAGAGACCACAGGAAAGAGAACGAGAGAGAGAAAGAATACAGGAAAGAGAACGAGAGAGAGAGATGCTGCATGAAAGAGAACGAGATAGACACTGCAGAAAAGGGAACGAGATAGAAATAGAGAGACTGCAGGACAGAGAACGAGTGAGTGAAGAAAGACGGTAGGAAAGTCAACGAGAGAGACTGCAGCAGAGAACGAGAGAGAGAGAGACTGCAAGACACTTAACGAGAGAGAATGAGACTGCAGGACAGAGAACGAGAGAGAGAGAGAGACGGCAGCAAAAAGAACGCGTATATGTATTTTATCACACTATATGAATGTCGTAACTATAATGAAATATTTTTGTCTCTTTCAGGTGACAACCCGATGCCTTCCCAGAAAACCGAAGTCAAATTCGGTTTCGTTGATAAATGGTACCCTGAGGAATGGGGCGCTAAAATGGTCTCTCGCCAAGATAATTTCATCACTCTCTATATCCACCCTGGTTGCGACTGCTTGGTTGGGGTGTGGGATTTCATGTTAGAGACCATGGCCTTTGGCAAGGGAAGCTACTGTTTCGATCAGTTTGAGCCTATCTACATTTTATTTAACCCTTGGTGCAAAGGTTAGTAAGACTGGTTTTCTTACCGACATTAATTGGTTAGAGAAAATAACTTTAAGAGCCATATAAAAGCATGCATCAACGTCCTGATGATGGATTAATGTCATCTGAAACATCAATGAGCAAACCCTCAAAAGGTATAATAATACTTTTTATACTAATTTCATCTACTAGTATATTCAACATTTTTCTAACTTGTGTCACAACATTTCAGCCGAGGTGTTCTTTGGTCTTCCTCTGGCATATATTGCATCTGGAGATTTTTCATTGAGGCCTAGTACTAATAAATATTATATAAAATGAAGAATATTTACACGAAGACTAAGTTTTATAAAGAATGCTTCAAAGGTCAAGATGTTTCTCCTAAGACTCAAATTCGAAACTTAATGCTACGCTTGGATTGCTTAGCCCTTTTCTGATAAATCAGTATGTACGACTGGTATAATTTCATTACTAGTTCTTCTTATTATTATTGATTTTTATCCCAATATTCTGGGTCGACACACTCTTCACTATTAATATAATTTTACTACTAATTATACTTAATTTACTTCCTATAGTCTCTCTCTTTCATCCTCTTTCCTGCAGTCTCTCTCTCCTCTCTCTCTCTATCTATCTCTCTCGTTATCTTTTCTGCAGTCTCTCTTTCCTTCTCTTTCTTGCTGTTTTCTCTCTCTCTCTCGCAATAAAAATTCTCTTTCCTCTAGTCTTCTCTCTCTCTCTCTCTCTCTCTCTCTCTCTCTCTCGCGAACTCTTTCCTGTAGTCTCTCTCTCTCGCGCTCGCGCACGAACTCCTTCCTGTAGTCTCTCTCGTTCTCTTTCCCGTAGTCTCTCTCTCTCTCTCTCTCTGTTCTCTCTCTCTTTTCTTCTCTTCTCTTTCCTGCTTCTTTCTGTCTCTTTCTCGTTCTCTTTCCTGCAGTCTCTGTCTGTCTCTCTCTCGTTCTCTTTCCTGTAGTCTCTCTCTATCTCACTCTCTTTCCTGTAGTCTCTCTCTATCTCGTAATCACTCTTTCCTGTACTCTATATATCGCACTTTCTTTCCTGTTCTCTCTCTCTCTCTCTCTCTCTCTCTCTCTCTCCCTCCCTCCTATCACTTTTCTCCTCTTTCTTGTTTTCTCTTTTTCCTGTCGTCTTCGTCGCCGTCTTTCCTGAGATCTCCAACTTTTTTCTTTCACTTGGATCATTTCTTTTTTTTATGTCTTTTCAGGAGACCAAATCTATATGGACGACAAAGATCTTCTCCATGAATACGTCCTAAACGATCATGGACACATCTTCCAAGGGAGTGGCAGTTCCAGTGTCTACCAGAAACCCTGGAATTACGGTCAGGTATACTGAAGCATTTACCCATTATGAAAACCGCCCCTCTTTTCTTTCCTTTCTTTTCTTTCCTTTCTTTTCTTTCCTTTCTTTTCTTTCCTTTCTTTTCTTTCCTTTCTTTTCTTTCCTTTCTTTTCTTTCCTTTCTTTTCTTTTCCTTTTCTTTCTTTCTTTTTTTCTTTCCTTTCTTTTTTTTTCTTTCTTTTCTTTTTTTTTTTCTTTCCTTTTTTTTTCTTTCCTTTTTTCCTTTTTCTTTTATTTTTTTCTTTTTTTTTTTCTTTTCTTTCTTTTCTTTTCTTTTTTTTTTTCTTTTCTTTTTTTTCTTTTCTTTTTTTTCTTTTTCTTTTTTCTTTCTTTTTTTCTTTTTACTTTTATTTTTCTTACTTTTATTTTTTCAAGTAGCATTTTTCCTCCAAACTTTGATCGCAACGATATAAAACCAAATTCCTCGTTCGTTCAGGAAACAAATACCATGAAATATTTTATCTTCCCCATTTTTAATATATTCATTTATTTTTTTTCAGTTTGACGACGACATCTTGGATATTTCTTTGTATCTGATGAGGCAAGGTTTTCTGGATTACAACATCCAGATGAGCAATCCGGTGCGTATTGTCCGTGCCTTAGCCCAAATGGTAAGTTAGCATGTAACGCTATCGTTGTAAAGGCTAATAAGAATACGCGACTTGAATATTTAATAGGCGACATTATTGTTTATTAATGTCGCCTATTTAAATATTAATGTTTATTAAATTCTAGACCGCATCCATTAAAATATGCATTCTTTTGTTTGTTGTCATCGCTGTGCCAGAAGCTCAATTCCACACTTATACCATTTGGCTGGTTTAGAGGCAAAAAGATCTCCCTGGGCCCGTTTTCAACCTCATTCACATTGTTGAACCTCCGTTCACACAGGAAAAGAGTCATAGCTCGGAAAACGGGGTAACATGATACGGCAAAGTCTAGAATGTAGCCTCTCTCTTTCTCGTTCTCTTTCCTAGAGTCCCTCTTTCTCTTTCCTGCAATCTCTCTCTCTCTCTCTCTCTCTCTCTCTCTCCTTATCGTTCAAGCAATCTCTCTCTCTCTCTCGTTCTCGTTTCCTGTTGCACCTTTCTCTCTCTCGTTCTGGTCCCTGTAGTCTCTCTCTCTCGTTCTGGTCCCTGTAGTCTCTCTCTCTCTCGCTCTCGTTCTGGTCCCTGCAGTCTGTCTCTCTCTCTCTCTCTCTCTCGCTCTCGTTCTGGTCCTGTAGTTCTCTCTCTCTCGCTCTCGTTCTGGTCCCTTAGTCTCTCTCTCTCTCTCTCTCGTTCTGGTCCCTGTAGTCTCTCTCTCTCTCTCGTTCTGGTCCCTGTAGTCTTCTCTCTCTCTCGTTCTGGTCATAATATTTCTCTCTCTCGTTCTGGTCTCTTTAGTCTCTCTCTCTCATTTCTGGTCCCTGTAGTCTCTCTCTCGTTCTGGTCCCTGTAGTCTCTCTCTCTCTTCGTTCTGGTAGAATAAAAGATCTCTCTCTCTCTCTCGTTCTAGTCCCTGTAGTCTCATTTCTCTCTCTCTCTCTCTCTGGTTCTGGTCCCCTAGTCTCTCTCTCGTTCGTTGGTCCCTGTAGTCTCTCTCTCTCTCTCTCTCTCTGGTTCTGGTCCCTGTAGTCTCTCTCTCTCTCTCTCTCTCTCGTTCTGGTCCCTGTAGTCTCTCTCTCTCTCTCTCTCGTTCTGGTCACTGTAGTCTCTCTCTCTCTCTCTCTCGTTCTGGTCCCTGTAGTCTCTCTCTCTCGTTTCTGCAGTCCCCCTCTCTCTCTCTCTCTTGTTACTGTAGTCTCTGTGTGTGTGTGTGTGTCTCTCTCTCTCGTTCTCTTTCCTCCAGTCTCTCTCTCTCTCTCTCTCTCGTTCTGATGGAGCATGGTCTTGACTATAGGCAGGATGATGCACCACTTCCAGCCCTGCAATTTTCTCCAGTTTACACTTGATCACCTTGCCAGTGTGTGTTGGGACATTGTCATGCTGTAGGAGTGCAAACTAACCTCCCTCCACCTCAAAATTTAAACCAAATGTTCGCACGTTGTCTGTTCAGTTCTTGAGGAACTTTTCGACAGGGTCTGTTCATAATGTCGAGCTTATGGGGATGCCGATTGATGGTGCAGAAGCAAATTCCGCTGACTGCCTTCGAGTGCTTGTGCTTGGCTAGTGTTCAATCATTTCATTCAAAGCCCAATCTTCCACAAGAGAAAGTCTCCCCGAGCTCGCGCTTGACCACATTAGTAGTGTGTCTGGTCGCGGGGATTTCTGTAGACAGGTTACACTCGGTCACAAGTGACCAATTTTTTTCCTCTTCATATATCAAAGCTGTAGAATAAAAAAGAATAAGCAATGTTTTTATATATATATATATATATATATATATATATATATATATATAGGGTGTTTATAAAAAGAATAATATAAAATCATTACGCTGTTTTTTCAGGTCTATAGCATTGTAGTGGACTGAATCAATGGTTGTTTGATTGGGTGTCAGTTTCACCGCTGTCGTTAGTATAACTTCCGGTGCAGCTGAATTGTGGGAAGACAAACCTATCTCGAAATGCTCCAAAAATGGCTATTCACTTTACTGCAAGCAGATTCAAATGACTTCATTTTTCAGCAAGATGGAGCACCACCCCATTGGTATCTCGGGGTTAGAGCTTATCTGAATGAAAACGTGCCTCAGCAATTGTTTGGGAGGAGAGGTGCTAAAGACCTTGCTCTCTGTGCTTGGCCTGCCAGATCCCCGGACCTCACTGTGTGTGACAATTTTCTTGTTGGGGTATGTTAAAGACCAAGTTTATGTTCCAGCACTTCCAGCAAGTATCGATGACGTGAAAGATCGAATAACAGCTGCAATCAACACGGTGGACCGTGACATGCTGAGGCGCGTTTGGGAGGAATTCTCATATCGGCTTGATATTGTCCGCGCTGCCGGGATACTTCCACATTGAGCACTTATAAAACATGAAATGAAACTTGAATGTATATATAAACACATGTGTTCATGCTAGAGGTTTGTAATTTTTTTTCATTTTTGACATATCGCGTGATGATTTTGGCGTATTCTTTTTGAAACACCCTGTATTTTTTAAGCATTACGTTTGAGCAAGGCGTGAAGCCACGAGGATGCAGGGGGGTTGCAGAAGATTTGGAGCAAGAGCAGATAGGAGTGATAGAAGAAAGGATGAGGAGAGGGATAGTGGATAGATCAAGGTAACTGAAGATGTCGATTGACATTGGAGATTATAGCTCTCAGGGAAACAGTAATTGGGAAGGGTGTTCCACAGGCGAGAGGTGCGAGGTATGAAGCTATTGGAGTAGAAGAGACGGCTACATTTAAAAGTTTCTACGGTGTAAGGGTGGGAGCGGGATGCCAGCCTCGTAGGGCGCTTGAATTCATGGAGTCTGGGAATTTGTATTTGTAGAAAAGACAGAGAGAGGCGACGGTGCGTATGTGAGAGAGTGACTGTAGACGAGATGCCAGATCAGGGCAAATTATATTACATATCCGTCTCTGGAGCTTGTCAAGAACTCCGAGGTAAACAGAAGGTGCTCCAGACCATATATGGCAGCAATACTCCATGCAAGGGCAAATGGTGGATTTGTATATTTGAAGTATTGATTCCGGGGAGAAAAATTTCTTGGAACGGCACAGAGAGCCAACTTTCCTCGCGGTGGACGAAGCAATTGACTCAATGTATGAAGAGAAATTCAGCAACGATTGGACAAGTTATATAAAATAAATGGTAAAACAGAGCGATAGAAAATCGCAAAATCATCAGTGAAAATCCGAAAACTTATATCTCATGACGTCACACATTATGAAATGGACAAAGTCCGACAATTATTTTAAGACATTTCTTTGTTTATACGTTCTTTTTATAGATACAAATATTTTTAAATGCTCTGTTTATAATAAATGTATTAAATAACATTTACCGGTTTGAATGTTCGAGAAATTTTCATAGAAAATATGCTTCCTCCGACAGGATTCGAACCTGTAGCCTATACGGAACCATCCATACAGCTTGACATGCCTTCACCGATTTCGCTACAGATGAGCGTTCGGTTAGCAAGGTCGAATTTACTGTCTATAAACTTCAATCTTCTATGAATCTCTCACGTACACTCATATCTGCTCAAAGCGTATCCAAATGTAAACAAATGACGTCACACATTATGAAATGGACGAAGTCCGACAATTATTTTAAAACGTCATTTGTTACCTTGCTAACCGAAACGCTCCTCTGTGGCTAAATCGGTAAAGCACGTCAGGCTATATGACGGTTCCGTATAGGGTACAGGTTCAATTCCTGTCGGAAGACGAATATTTTCTATGAAAATTTCTCAGACATCCAGGCCGGTAAATGTCGTTAATACTGTTTATTATAAACACAGCATTTACTTAAATATTTGTATCTATAAAAAATAAATAAATATAAAAAAGATGTCTTAAAACTAATATCTAATCTGTGGTTGGGAGAGATTGTTTTCGTTCTGCTGGACATTGCTCGGGATATCACGTATTGTTTATTAAACACTGCCCAGTTATTGTTAACCCCCTTTCCTGTCGCCTTTGCACTGATTAGGCTCAACATTACTATGCTACCAAATTCATAAACTAACGCTTTGATCCACTTGACTGTTGTCTCGTGGGACAATCCTGAGTAGAAAAAAAACTAATCTTAAACCTAATCTGCCATGCTGCTGTCACACTTTGACCGCATTTACCTGGGCTTATCATTCTTTTTATGCTGCTGTTGTCGAAGCTTTGCTGTCATTTCGCTTTCTTTATTACCACTACGTTTGAAGCGTTGTGATGAAAACAACAACGATGAGGACAATATAAATGACAACTCTTCATCCCAGAAATTCAGAGAGAAATTACAGATTTTTGATAAGTACATAGATACCAATTTTCTGATATTCAAGACGTACTTCAATGGGTACATTGTCAATTTTCTTCTGCTTCTTTCCAGATGAATTCACCCGAGAACAACGGCGTTATGATGAGAAGCAGCACTGGTGACTTCAGCGATGGTAAAAAGCCTGCTGCCTGGGGTGGCAGTCCCAGAATTCTTCAGCAGTTCATTGACACCAAAGAACCGGTGCGTTATGGTCAATGCTGGGTCTTCGCCGCTCTGATGACAACAGGTTAGGTACACAATTCCATTCCCAGGGAATCTTCTTCAAACGATAAAAATGTATCAACATTTTTAACGGACATCTAAACATATATTGTAGGATTGTTCGGGCGCCTCGACGTGGTGTAATGGTTAGAAACCTTTTGCCACATTAAAGCCGCGTTTAGAAAATCACTATATTGTTGATACGACATATTTTAAATAATTTACATTAGAAAATAGTTTTCTTTAAATTTTTAGTGAACGATTTCCTATAGAGAAATGCATTGGTGAACTGCTTTCTAGAGAGAAATGCATTGGACAACGGTTTCCAGTAGAGAAATGCATTGGAGAACGGAACTGATTAAACTTATTTGGAGAACGGTTTCCAGTAGAGAAATGCATTGGAGAACGGTTTCCTGTAGATAAATGTATTGGAGGAGAAATACATTTTCTGTAGTATAAAGGTATTGGAGAACGGTTTCCTGTAGATAAACGTATTGGAGAACGGTTTTTAAATGTAGATAAAACGGTTTTGGAGAACATTGGAGTTTCTGTAGATAAAGATGGAGAACGTTTCCAGTAGATAAACGTATTGGAGAACGGTTTCCAGTAAAAGAAATAGAAATACATTAGAATACGGTTTTAGAGAGAAACTGTTTCTGTAGATAAACGAAACCAATAAACTTAAAAACGGTTTCCTGTAGATAAACGTATTGGAGAATGGTTTCAGTAAAGAAATACATTAGAATAAGTAGACATAGATAGTAAAGACTGTTTCCAGTAGGAGAATGTTTCTTAGAGAAATGGAGAACGGTTTCCTGTAGATAAACGTATTGGAGAACTTAAAAAAATATTTTACGCTTGATCCTGTAGATAAACGTATTGGAGAACGGTTTGGTCATAAACAGTAAAGTAAAAAATACATTAGAATACGTTTTTCCAGTACATTGGAAAATGTAGATAAATTGGAGAACGGTTTCCTGTAGATAAACGTATGGAGAATGGAGAATGGTTTCCACGGTTTCTAAAGAAATACATTGGAGAATAAACGTTTTTGTAGATAAACGTATTGGAGAATGGTTTCCAGTAAAGAAATACATTAGAATACGGTTTCTAGTAGAGAAATGCATTGGAGAACGGTTTCCTGTAGATAAACGTATTGGAGAATGGTTTCCAGTAAAGAAATACATTAGAATACGGTTTCTAGTAGAGAAATGCATTGGAGAACGGTTTCCTGTAGATAAACGTATTGGAGAACGGTTTCAGGATAAACGAGAAATTGGAGAAACGGTTTAAACCTGTAGATAAACGTATTGGAGAACGGTTTCCTGTAGATAAATGTATTGGAGAACGGTTTCCTGTAGATAAACGTATTGGAGAATAGTTTCCAAAATAAAGAATAGGTTTTATTTAGATAGAGAAATACGGTTTGGAGAACGGTTTCGTAGAGAAATGATAATTGGAGAACGGTTTCCTGTAGATAAACGTATTGGAGAACGGTTTCCAGTAGATAAACGTATTGGAGAACGGTTTCCAGTAGAGAAATACATTAGAAGACTGTTTCCAGTAGGGAAATGCATTGGAGAACTGCAAGATAAACGTAGATAAACGAAATATTGGAACCCAGAATTACAGAGAAGGCCCCTGTAAATTTGGAGAATTGAGAACGTTTCCATTAAAGAAATCATTAGAATACTGTTTAAAGTAAATGCATTGAGAATAAAAACGTATTGGAGAACGGTTTGTAGATAAAATGCATTGGAAAAAAAGACTGTTTAATAAACGCAAGAGAAGATGCTTAGAAAAAAATAGAAATTGTGTGTCTTAATCATTAAAAAGGAAATGTTTTAAACGGTTGATGTAGATAAAAGTTTTTGGAGAACGGTTTCCAATTATAAATTGAGAACGGTTTGCATTTGAAAAGAAAATGCATTGGAGAACGGCTTCCTTTAGAGAAATTCAGACTAAAAATTCTTTTTAAAAAATAAATTCTTAAATCTTTCTTGTTAAAAAAATGTTTTAAATGCTCTCAAAGAATTAAGCACTAAATTCCCCATTTTCAAAGTCTTAGAAAACATCCATTTTCAAATGGCCGGGCAAATCATTTTCAATATTTTATATATTTTCGCGTTTTCAGTTTGTCGCGCGCTCGGTATTCCTTGCAGGACTGTGACCAACTTTAATTCGAATCACGACAGCGATGACAACGTTACTGTCAATATCTACCTGGAGGAGGACGAAGAAGGAAACATTTACGAACGCAAGGAAAATAACCTTTGGTAAGGAACACTATGAAACTCTAATATTTACGTGCTTACTAATGCTCTATATTTTGTGGCCTTGTGTTACACTAAACTACACGAAATAAATAACTACAAAAGCATACGTGCATCGGCTCAAATAAGAACTTTTAGTTTGGGATCAAATGAGAAATTAAACAAAAAAGCCTTAGTATAACGTTCCGTCCCTAGAAAGAACTTTTACGGATGTTTTTATCAGTGAAGTCAGTCATATATATATATATATATATATATATATATATATATATATATATATATATTATATATATTTTTTCTTATTTTTTGTGTGTTTCATGCTAAACACGATCGTCAGGCTATGAGATTGCGTTTAGCATAAAACACGCTGTCGCCACTGGGTGTTGACTTCAATTTTCGCTAATATATACAGTATTTTCCGGGTTATAGTCCGCACCAATATATAACCCGCACTCCTATAAATACAGTACACAACCCTTGTATAACCCGCACCTCTTTTTTCGATATTTCATTGTTACTAACGATTTATACAGGTATTGACAGTAGGCCCCTAGTATTTTTATACGAATATCAATAGAGAAATATCATTTTCCATTACAAAAAGATTTTTTTATAAAAATACAGAACTCCGTCACTCACTTTCAAAATCGTCAAAATCCTTACCTTCGATATCATCTTTGTAAAGTTGGGTGTACAATTCCTTGAGGCCAGTTGCAATTGCCTGAATATCGAATGTAGGATCGCCTTTATCGTCACTGCTTGATGATATCGATTGGGATTACAGAAAATCATCGAATAATTCTGATTTACAGAATCCATTCTTGATAATCGAAACCTTGATATTCGTCCAAACTTCGATTAACCATTCAACTATCTGCACCATTCGAAGACACAATCCATATTTAATCCGCACCTTACATATTTTGAGAAAAAAAGGCGCCGGTTATAGTCCGGAAAATACGGTAGTTAAATAAGTAGTAATATTATAATAATAATAATAATATAATTATAATAAAATAATAATATAATAATAATATAATTATAATATAATAATAATAATAATATATTATAATAAAACAATATAATATACTTATAATAATATAATAATAATATAATATAATTATAATAATAATATAATGAAATATAATATTATAATAAAATAATTTAATTATAATTATATTATAATAATATAAGAATAATATATAATTGTAATAAATATAATAATAATAATAATAAAATAATTTATTATAATGTAATAAAATAATATAATTATAATTTATAATAATAATAATAATATAATTAAAATATAATTATAATAATAATAAAATATAATTATAATAATAATAAAATATAATTATGATAAAATAATATAATAATAATATAATTATAATAATAATAAATAGATATTATCAGTAAGTCGGTAATAACAGTTACATTCATAATCTATATTAGTATCACTCAATTTTTAAAAATACGAAATAAATTTCATATATAACCCGCACCCTACATATTTCGAGAAAAAGTCGCGGGTTATAGTCCGGAAAATACTATACGAAAAAAAATATACATATATATATATATATGTATGTATGTATGTATGTGTGTTTTTGTATGTGTTTGTAGAATGTAATATATTCTAAAAATATGTAAATGTTGAAACAATCTGTAAAACGTTTTAAACGACACGTATTGTATTCGGCTTTCTCAGGACGGAATGAAAGAGAAAACAGTGCGAAAGGAAAATGTGTCGTAATTTTTGAAGATAAAAAGGACAATAAATAAAATTACCTCACCAGATCCGACGACCAAAAACCAAACATGTTTCTTAATATATTAAAGCCGTTGATGTTTGTTGGATTTTTTATCAGTCCACTGTGTAAATCTGTTTTTTTTCTTTCTTGCAACTCGTATAACGCACTGTTATATTTAACAGCACCCCCCCATACGAGGGATGTATGTGGCACAACGCCAAGTTTACCGTGGGTTCTCCGAGCCCGTAGGCTCGGCCAAAAATATTCCCTTTGAAGTCGTATAAACGGGTTCAGGGACTGTCTACCTCCCCGGACGAAACTTTGCCCTGCGGCAAAACTTCGTCTGGGTTCCTCTCTGCCGAGGCAGAGATTTCGACAGATGAACAATGTATTCGACTGTTCGCCACATATTTCGCATAACGCACTGTGCAGTTAGTGTCTTTGCGGTTGTCGGTGATATTATGGGAGGTCCTGGTTTTAGGTTTACTGTCAAGAATAATGAAATTAGCACACTCTCAAAGCATTTTCTTTTGAGTTAATGTTTTTCTCTCCTGTTCAGACGGGCGCTTTTTAAGTCGAAATTGTGGTCAGATGTATTAGGGTGAACTGTCAATGAATTTAAAGTACTTAAAGCATTAGGGCAGATCGATTTTAGAAGCGTGTTGTTGCACTCAATTTCGAGTTTCACATGATAAATAACGACACAATTTATTTTCATTATTTTTTTGGTACAGACTATGAATCTAATTTTTGGTATCAGTTTGTCTTACACGAAATCTTAGTTTTCGAACAAAGTGCAATGTTGATGTTCTCAAAGATAAAAAAACGTGAAAAATCAACCTACCCTAATGAACATCGCAAAGACATGCTAGCTGATATGTAAGACATCGAAACTAGACAAAGGCAATGACTGTCCTGATGTATCAGTTTATTTGTTCTTTTTATCTTTTATTAGCGTTTTACAAAAGATAGATAAAGACTAAATGAAAAAAGAAACTTAAATAATTATCAAATACGTCGAACATTATTTGCAGGAGTTTCCATGTCTGGAATGATGTTTGGATGGGACGCCCTGATCTTCCCGTCGGCTACTGCGGCTGGCAAACCATTGACCCCACTCCACAGGAAGCCAGCGACGGTAAGTATCTTTTGTCATATAACGATTTAGCATTGACATTCATTTTCAGTGTTCGAGTACAGTATTAGTTCAAAAGGTTATAAAGATAGGAAGAGTGTGTAGTCCCAATCTTTCCGATAGGGAGGATGGCCAGAGGAAAATTCGAAATTCTTGACTTAATTGAAACATCGGCTCATGTCACCAGTATGCAACTGCCTCAGACAAGTAAATTATGAGAGATAAAGCGTTCTAGTATATAGCGAGAGAGATAAAAATGGATTTGTGGGTAGAAAGAGATTAATATACTGAGAGAAGGAGCTTAACGGACTTAGAAAATTTAAGAACAGAGAGTGGATGTAAATTGGGATTGGTGAGAACAATCCCCTCAAGAAGAGACTTGAAGCTGGACAATCTCCTTACAGATGAAGAAGAGACTTGAAGCAAGAGAAACAAAGAAAAGAGTACTGAACTGTTATGTAATATCAGTCCTCCTATATGGCAGTGAATGCTGGACAATCTCTTCACAGATGAAGAAGAGAATTGAAGCAAGACAAACAAAGAAAAGCGTACTGAACTTTTATGTAATATCAGTCCTCCTATATGGCAGTAAATGCTGGATAATCTCTTCATAGATGAAGAAAAGACGTAAGCAAGAAAAAAGGATGCTGAGAATACTATGGACTAATCATGTGAGCAATGACGAAGTTTTACAGAAAATGGAAACAAAAAGAAAACTTATACTTAACATCAGGAGTAGACAGGTGAGGTTTCTGAGTACATAAAGAAGAAGGGCTTGGAAAATTTGATACGCACAAGACAGAGCGTAAAAAGAGGAAAAAACGTATAATATACTTAGTGAGCTTGAGTAAATGGAATGCATAACAGTATTTAGGCGAAATAACAGTTTATTAAGAGCTACAAGAGACATGATGTTGTGGAGAGTCATGATCGCCTACTCCTGAGGGGACTCGAAACATAAAAGTCAGGAAGAAAAGTCGTATTTGAAGATTTCGGACACACCGCTTGGGATAATTACTGCTCGAATATTAGTTGAATGAAATTGTTAGGCACCTGATAGAAAAAGTATTCTTAAGTATTTAAACAAGGTTCTGTTGATTAAATAAAGTCTCGTAGATTAGGGATATAATTCTATTTTTGTAAACAGTATTGTTTGATGGGAGATCTACGAGTAATTTCTGACACTTGAGGTGTTACCAAAGGAGAACTGTCGAGAGAACGTAAACCCTTTTAGGCCTCCGGCAGGATACTCACTTTTAAATCAACTTTACGCCTTATTGCGTTCCAGTGGGAATTTGATTACATTCTATCGTTTCACTTTAATTTCCAGGGAAATCCTGACGATAAACTACATTTGGCAGCAAGGCCTCTGATTGGGAGATTGGAGGTTGTGAGGAGCATGCAACCACCTCTTATTTTCTGTTGTTCCTAGGCCCACCCTTCCGGCAGCAATACTTTTGACCAGGAGATTGGAGGTTTTGAGGAGCGTGGAGCCATCACTTAATTGCTGTTGTTCCCAAGGTCTAACCTTCCAGCAGCAAGACCTCTGACCGGGAGATTGGTCGTTTTGAGTAGTGTGGAACCACCTCTTAATTGCTATTGTTCGCAGGTCCACCCTTTCGGAAGGAAGGCCTCTCATCGGAAGGTTGAAGGTCTCGAGGAGCGTGGAACCAGCTCTTAATTGCTGTTGTTCGCAGGTCCACCCTTTCGGAAGGAAGGCATCTCATCGGAAGATTGAAGGTCTCGAGGGGCGTGGAACCAGCTCTTAATTGCTGTTGTTCGCAGGTCCACCCTTCCGGAATGAAGGCCTCTCACCGGAAGACTGAAGGTCTCGAGGAGCATGGAACCAGCTCTTAATTGCTGTTGTTCGCAGGTCCACCCTTTCGGAATTAAGGCATCTCATCGGAAGATTGAAGGTCTCGAGGAGCGTGGAATCAGCTCTTAATTGCTGTTGTTCGCAGGTCCACCCTTCCGGAATGAAGGCCTCACACCGGAAGACTGAAGGTCTCGAGGAGCGTGGAACCAGCTCTTAATTGCTGTTGTTGTTCCCAGGTCCATCGGAAGATTTCCGGTCAGCAAGAAAGCTCTGATGTTGAGAGGTGAATGAAACAGGTTTTTCAGGAGCGTGGAACCAGCTCTTAATTGCTGTTGTTCCCAGGTCCACCCTTCCGGCAGCAAGAACTCTGATCAGGAGTTTGGAGGTTTTCAGGAGCGTGGAACCAGCTCTTAATTGCTGTTGTTCCCAGGTCTAACCTTCCAGCAGCAAGGCCTCTCTTCGGGAGATTAGAGGTTTTCAGGAGCGTTGCTCCCAGGTCCAACCTGACCCGGTGTGTTAGCACCTGTTAGTGTCCCAGCTATAAAAAATAGTGTTTTTGTTTGTGAGACTCACTATGAGAGTATAAAAACACATTTTTATAGTAAAAATCCCAACACTACATAAACAGCAATACGTTTTATCTGTAGTTAAATCCATAAAATTGTGTTCAAAATATTTTGATTTCGGTATTAAATGACCCATAGAGTTGTTGATATGTCACTTAAAATCAACCAAACAACCAACATGAACACTATTTACATTGTTCGAACTATAATCTTTGTTACCATATTTATCACAACGTTTCGGCCGTTGTACGCTCCGGCCTTCTCAAGGACACATGGCACAGTGGATAAAGGCGTTGGTTAGATCCAGTGACAGAACCCAAAGAGTGTGAGATCAATACCTGGTTAAGGTGGTGAATAGCTTGGAGATGGGAATTAATAGGAGATAATTGACATCCATTAGACTAGAACAGTCTACACCAGAGAGCGAAATAAAAGGTTCAGTTCGACATTCCAACCACCTGAAGTAGGTCGCAGCGTAAAACGGCTGAAACGTTGCGATAAATATGGCGATAAAGATGAGGATGTTAGTCCAAACAATGTAAATAGTGTATATAATACCTCATCTCAGAAATATAGACAGAAACTAACATGAACTTTCATGACATTAATCCATGTATCCTGCAATTTCTTAAATCAAACAGTATTCCAAAATATAACTTAAAAAATATTAAACATATAACCACCTCTAGTTGTTATGTCCAAACAAATATGTATATGTACAAAAGCTGTGTATTATTTACCATGTATTCACTTGTGAAAGCAGAATAATTATTATTATATTTATTTTATTATTTCAAAGCTACTAAATCTTGGTATTAAATGACCAATGAGATGTTGATGTGCCGTTAATCAAATCAACTATTTTCCAGGGTTCTACTGTTGTGGACCGGCCCCACTGAAGGCTCTCAAAAATGGTGAGATCAACCAAACCTTTGATACCAACTTTATCTTTTCGGAATTGAACTCGGATCGAGTTTATTGGATGAAGAACGCACAGAATGGCAAATGGGAGATTGTGCACATCGAAAAAGATGCGTAAGTGCCAGAGAATAACAAAACCTAAATACCATCACGGCATCATTAAAATGGTCGATGCATTGAAGTCTACATTATTAATGTCTTATTTTTCATGAAATAACGATAAACCACAGGATTTTTTCCTTTGATCTTGGAAATTGGTGCCTTTCAGGAACGTGAAACCACGTCTTAATTGCTGGTGTTCCAACGTCTACTCTGTTGGGGCCTCAGCTATGGGCAAATAGTGAAACCCCAAGCAAAAACAAGATAGTGTGAAAGTACATTTTTCTTTGGATTAAAAATACCGTTTTTTTTTTTTTTCTAGACAAATGAAATTTTTTGCAATATATATTTTTAGTAAAATTACCAACAATACATTTTTAAAGTATAATTGCCAACAATTCATTTTTTAGTAGAATTACAAACAATATATTTTATAGCAAATTTTTTTATCTATAGTTGAAAGCATACAATAGCACTCAAAATACATTTAGTTGAAGCCATAAAATTGTGTTACTAATATTTAGATTTCGGTATAAATAAATAGATATGTTGATATTTATGCTAAACAAAATGACCAATTAATACATATAGTTGACTGTTCATACAATAGCATCAAAATAATTTAGTTTAAGCAAATAAAATTTTTTACTAATATTTAGATTTCGGTATAAATAACCCATAGATATGTTGATATGCCATTAAACAAAATCAACCAACAATACATATATGTATCAGATAAAAAAATACAATAAAACTCAAAATAATTTATTGAAAATAAAATTGCAATTTACTATTATTTAGAATTTCGGTATAAATAAATGTTTAGATA